GGGAATACACATACAAGGACCAGTGCAGGAGACAATCCCAAAACTCAAGCCTGTGAGACTGTTGATGAGGATAGAGCTCTGCAAGAACTTACACACTTGCACTGCAGCCTGTGGGTCTCTAAGACAATGTTCATGGCTGACCAGCCCCTGCAGGATCAGAGACACATTCTTTTATGGAAATATGGATGTAATCCATCCCTTAATAATCAAATTTATGAGTCTTTTCCTTTTCAGGGTTTCTTCCCACATTTGTTCTATTCTTTGTAGATGTGCATAGGTGAAATTTAAACTCCTCCTATCCTCATGTTAAAATCCTCAGAAGTTTGGAGAGCCTTGCTAGGAACTGGCAAGTGGAGATCCCTGTCACTGTAGCATTGCAACTGCCTCTGTCTCCCCTTCTGGAATCTCAGGTAGTGGGGAGAACTCCTGTTGCTACCCACCATATAGGAAACCCTGTCAGTGCCACAACATCTACCACAACACCACAGTCACTGAAGCTCTGTGTGACTTGAGAAAGCACCCATGGGAATTACACTCTGTCCTCCCCAGAGAAAATTGAGTGTTTTTCTCTCACTGTTTTTCTTAGTCTCATCCATAAGGATGATAACTGAGTCCTGGCTTAAGGCAATAATATTTCTGGTAACTATCCAGACCTCCCCTGTTGAAATCATAGATTCCTACCAGTCTGATGTCTTCAATTCAGAATCATGTATATTCACTACAAGCCTTCATTTGAAGAAATCCTCCCCACCGCCGCCCGGCACACACACATAGATAGCTTCTTACATCCCCACTAACACTTGGTTTTCTCTTACAAATGATAAGTTCTTTGATCTTGGCAAATTTCATGATTCTGCGACTCCTACCCTCTCCTTCTTTTATCTCTGGGATGAGATGAAGGAAACTGAGCAGGTGCCAACAGAGCTAGGACCAGCTTTCCCTCATCTGAGTGTCTGCCTCTTGGGCTGGAGTCTGCAGAGGGAGCTCGACACTTTTTGAGCTCCAGGGCCCAGGGGAAAATGACCCACAGAAGCTCAGCAAACTTTTCTGGTTGTTTGTGCTAAATACACATTACCTGACATTGCCATTTTTCTCATTTCTAACGGAAGAGCCCAGTGCATTGTTTTGTTTTTTTTTTCAGCAGTTGGCACTCTCTATCTGCAGAACTTTTTCAGCTTTCGAACCAGAAACTCTAGGTCTGTTAACAATAAACTCTATTGCTCCCTCCTCCCCGCTCCTGGCAGCCAACATTCTGCTACTTGTTTCTCAAATTGACTAGGGACCTCAATGAGAAGACTCATTCAGTCTTTCCTTTTTGCTCTTTGGCTCATGTTCTTCTCCATATATCTTCATGATACATCCAGTTGGGCACATGTCACGGCTTTCTTTCCTCCTGTGGGTGAGCAGATTTGCACTGTGTCTCGATCCCAACTGTGTTTACTGACTCACCATAGAGGTATGTTTGGTTTGTTTCCCCCTTTTCTGCCTACTTTCTTGATTCTAGAAGAACATACAGCTTAGGAGACAAGAAATCCAGTCTGAGTTTAGGAATCTCCACAACTTCCTCGATGAGGAGGAGAGGGCTTATCTATGGAGACTGGAGAAAGAGAAAGAGCAGATGCTGAGGAGACTGCAGAAGATGAAGCCATTGTGGTAAAGAAGAGCTCTGAACTTAAGAGCCTCATCCTGGAATTAGAGAAGAAATGTCAAGAATCAGCCCAGAATTTGCTGCAGGTAAGAGAGGCTGAGAACTTCTAGGAAAGAAAGGAGGTGTCATCTGTTCCTGACTATTGAGTGGAGAATGACGAGGGAGCCTGGGGAGATTTCTGAGACCTGTCTACTTCACTTAATTGTGGCACTGAAATTAAAGAAACATTCTTTAAAATCTATATACATGTCTGCTGGCAGCCTTTCAGGTCCAGGGGTCGCATGTGAATCAGAAATTTAAACTATCTCTGGGTATGATCTGGAGGCTTCCTGTTTTATGGACCCTACCTAACCCTCTGGCCATTTATTTGCCCTTGTCAACTGTATAAGGAACCACCCTTTCTAACCATCTCTTGAAAATGACTGGTGGTATAGAGTGGGGCAGCTGAAATAAATAACTTTTTCCTGATTCACTTATTGTCTTGGGTCATTAGCTCTTACAGGACCTGCTTTTAGCTGCCTGAAGATTCCAGCAGGTGAACATAAATGCCTGGACTCCAGCTGCTACTGCAGGACTGGTAGTTACACTCTGAGGGGGAGGATATAACATGACAGCACACTCAGCAGGTGACACCTGCTGCCTCTCCCTCATTGGCCCAGTGGCAGGTTCTGGGCATGGATTCCCCACTGAGGACCTTTGTCATCAGTGATCTCTGATATGGGCTCCTCAGAAAGAAATTAGGTCACTTAGAGCAAAAGGTAACATGATCAAGTCCCTGAGGGCACAGGCTACTGTGAATGCAGTCTCCATGACTCCCCATGAGCCTGAGCAAGTGCGATCACACACTCACACACACTGGCAGGGACTATCCTAGGGGACTGGGATTGGAATCATTCTACCTGGGTATGTGTGGGTGTGTAAGTCTGGGTCACTCTACTTCCTGGGGTGCAGTGTTCACAGCATGTAACCCCACATGTCGAGTGACATGACATACTGATTTTCCCACACTCACCTTCTGTCTTTGTTTTCACTGTAGGGTGTGAAAGACACATTGAAAAGGTAAGTCTGTCTGAACACATGGTTAAGGGGAAGTGAGGATTTGTGGGGTCCAGAGCTGAATGGAATGTCCACTGCAGAAAGTCTGTTGTCTGTTTATTCTAGGCATTCAGATGTGAAGCTGGAAATACCAGAGATCCACTCTCTGGACCTTCAAACTGTGTGCAATGTTTCTGAGCTTTACTTTGACTTGAAGAAAATGCTAAAGAGCTACCAAGGTATGTGAAGGAAATAACTGCCTTCATGCTTCACAGGAAAGGCCCCTTCAGTGGTAGCCAATCTTCCTACCTGTCTTGCTCAGACTCCTAGGTGGAGAGGTAGCTGAGCTGTTTCCAGTGGGGTCAGAAACACGCTCCCTTGGGTGTAGACAGGGAAGTGGCAAACTGTTACCTCTTCAGGCTCTTCAAATTCCTCCTCTCCCGTTGATTTGCTGTATCAACCAGGCCAACCACTACCTCATTTTCCCATTCTGAAAAATAAACAAATATGAACAGATCTTGATTCAGTGAGTTTTCATGAAAATTCAATGCAACAGCAGGTGTAAAGTGTTTAGAACAATCTGCACCATAATGTTTATGTCATTAAACATTCAGTGAAATTTAAGAAAGATAGATCAGTATTCAGGACTAAGGAGAAAATGGATTATGATGCCATAAATATTTGAATCTTAATGAAAGCCAGTATTACCAGTTCCAAAACCATGATTCTTATTTAGTACTTGCTATGTTCCACATGTCCACAATTAGAAAATTCAAACTAAATTGTTTTAATAATTTTTTGGCTGTAAAATCTGAATGAAGTTGAACTCATTCTCTATGGTTATAAGAATATTCAGTCGCTTAAAATAACACATATTATCTCACAGTTTTTTGGTTCAGATATGTATGGCTCACATTACCTAGGACTTATGGTTAGGACCTTACAGAGCGCAACAAATGTGTTGGCTGGGCTGGGCTCCGATCTGGAGGCTAGACTGGGGAATAATCCACTTCCAAGCTGCCTCTGATAGTGGGCAGCATTCACCTCTTATGATTATAGAACTTATGACCCTGGCTTCTTTCTGACTATTGAAGAGATGCTGTCATCATCTTCTAGAACACTAACAGCCCTAGAAGGCACCCCCAAGTGATTGTATGGCAAGACCATTATGTCTTCAAATAAACTCAAGGATATGACTTCCACTTATTGGTTATTTACCAAATACCAGGAATGTCTCCAAGCACTAGGCATCCATTAGCTCCTTCAATCCTCCCCACCATATTGTTCAGGTGTGATGATTTCCTACTATAGTATGCAGTCTCAGTGACTCACAGAGCTAAAAGAACTGGGCTGCACTTGAATCCAGGATGGTTATACTGAAGTGAACTGTCTTCTCAGCAAATAAAATGTATTTTTCTCTTTTATCAGCCAGTGTGACTCTGGACCCAGACACAGCTCATCGTGAACTAATTCTGTCTGAGGATCGGAGACATGTGACCCGTGGCAGCCCCCAGGAGAAGCATCTCAGTTTTAGGAGATTCCATGCCTTACCCTGTGTCCTGGGCTTTGAGGGCTTCACCTCAGGAAGACATTACTTTGAAGTGGATGTGGGAGAAGGATCTGGGTGGGCCTTAGGAGTTTGTCTGGAAAATGTGCAGAGGGACAGGGACATGACCCCAGAGCCTCAGTCTGGATTCTGGGCCATCAGACTCTGCCAGGAGAATGGCTACATGGCCCTTACTTCTCCACCAACTTCTCTTACATTGAAGGAGCGGCCCCTGCTGGTGGGGTTCTTCTGGACTGTGAGGCTGGACTTGTGTCCTTTTACAACATGAACACGGGCTCCCACATCTTCACCTTCCCAAGGGCCTCCTTCTCTGGTACTCTTCAGCCTTATTTCCTGGTTAATCATTCTTCTCCTTTATTCCTCCCTCCACCGCTGGAGTTATTTTAAGAACAGTCTCTTTTGTTTAACCATTATAGAAATATAATGTGAGTTCTACCGGCAAAGAATTTTTGTCTTTTTCCCTTTCTGCTCTTTCCCCTAACCAAGAACGGTGCTGAGTTCTCAGAGGACACTTAATGAGTGTGCAATGACTGAGTGGATACAGCCACTGTATAGACACACAGAAGCTCAGCCTGACCTGCGGGGAAGCAAGAGCACAGCCGTGATCATGCATCACCCTCTCCATCGCGGGTTCAGATCTCTGATTTCCAAGGGTCCTGGTCTGACCAGCAGGGTGACCAGACATCTGGAGGGCTGAGTGCTCCCATTGTGTTTGATACCAGCAGAGTCTCCCGTGGAGATGAGGGGAAGCTGCATTGTATCTGTCAGCTGCAGAGAAGAACAGGACACCAAAATAACATTTCTTTTCACAACTGACATGATGGTGACATTAACTGAGAGAATCATTATTATGAAGCAAATTTACTTTTAGTAGAACTGAAATTTTATGAAGAGATTATTTAGTCAAACTGAGGACTGGGCTCAGGAGACCAGCATCAGATTTCTTTGTGACTGACTGGTCACTCACCTGAAGTTTTGGGCCCAGGATTATACGCAGAAATTACATGTACAGAAAGAGAACATACTGTTTTTTCTAACCCTAGCAAAAAGACATCTAATGAATTTCCAACAATGGTATTAACTAAAAGAGGTTTGTTCCTGTCAACCTCAGTTAACTGATAAAGGGGAAATATTGTTCCCACTTCACAACCACCACTTTATTCCACACAGCTTGTGGAGCAGCAGCTCTGTGTGTTTGGGAAGATGTGAGGACAGGGGTTACTGAATATCTCATCCTGACATGTACATGCCTTGTCCTCCCTCTTTGGCATAAAAATTATTTGGGGCCAAAGGCAGTTGTGTAAAAAAAATGTACAAGAGAAGCTCTTGGTCCTCCCCTTGTTTGCCAAAGAGGAAATAGATAGAAATTAATTAGCAGAGACACATCTACACCCTGAGGCAGCACTACAGGCATCCACATAAGGAGCAGGTAACACTAGCCCTTGTCTTCCATCACTTGGCCCATATCTTTTCCTGCCCATCATTCCCCACCTAGAAATTCATCTCTCTTTACCTGTCACTTCTCTAAGAATCTACTGCTCATTAGTTAGCTTCTCCGTGAGCTTTAGTTCTAAACACCACCTGTGTCCCTAGTCTCCGAGTTCCTGGGAGTAATAGGGGTGCACGTGCATCCAGGAAAACTTTCTGCTTCTCCTTCCTCTTCTGCTGCTACCCCATTCACACCACGTCTCTTCACTCTGCTCTCCTGATGTGAGCGATTTGTCCATATACCTGAGTGTCTCACAATCCAATTCAAATCTGATATAATGGAGTTCCAACAGAGCCCCCGGCCCCCAGGATATGGGCTCAGTGCCACACAGTCTCCAACCCCACCCTGACCTCACTCCTGTCACAAGCCCACATTGTCACCTGTGCTTCTGACTAACTGGCTATGAATCAAAGGGACTTTGACTTACTCCTCCGGTTCATTCATTTGCTAGAAAAGTTCACAGAACTGAAGGAGATACTGGGTTGTTGGAAACGTCATAATGCGTTTTTGCAGCAGATGGCCCTAGAAAATATGTCATGACTTTTCCAACACCCCAGTACTTTCCTAACTACCTTACTGTTCCACGTGGTGGTGACTATGGGAGCACCTTCTTGTTCAAATTCTGAGAAGATGCATCAGAGCTCCTGGGAGTGTGAGACGGGGCCTCCCATTCCCCTAGAAGCTTCTCCCCACACCCAGGTGCCAGGTCTATCAGAGTCACAATTCCGTTGTTACTCGCTCTCTCTTCTTTGCCCCAAAAGAGGCTCCACACCTCAGATTCTGGAGAACTGATTCTCACATCCACCATTCCTAGCCTAGACTAGACCCTCGGGCCCCTGGCATCACCAACCAGAAGAGGAGTCTGTGCACTAGCTTTCGGGGACTTCCAACATGGAAAGGAATTATCAGACCCCAGATTGGACATGCAGAAAACACTGAAGGTCCTTCTCCTGAGAAAGTCCCTTCACCAGGCACAAAGAGACAAAGAGATGACTGTTCAGGAAAAGAGATGATGTGTTGGTGAACATGTGGTTAAGGGAATATGCTAAGGCCTTTGAGTTTATCCTGAGTTGCTTATGACAAGGACACTGAGCCAATGTGTCCAATTCTCAGATGCGGGTGTCGCCTCGTCACTCCAGGCCCCAGGCAGGGGCTCGAGGCTGCAGACTGCTCCTTCCCGCTGACTTGTATCTCAGCTGTCCTCCCCTTTGTCTCTGCCCTCCCAGACCTGGACTCTCTGAGCATGATGGAAATGTGTGGGGTTGGCTGTTTTCTCATGTTGCCACCACGCTGAGTGCCTGTTTTAGTGAGATGCACATGCTTGTTCTGATGAAGACACTACATGGAGATTAAAATTAGTTTTCCACCTTCCAACGCAGAGCCTGACTTATATCCAATTTCTGATTTTACTTCTAAGAGGACAAGGGACATCACCCATCTGGGCCTCAGTTTGCTAAAGTGTGATATTGGGGCTGTGTTCTCAGGTGGTTGTGAGAAGTGCTCAGGCACAAAGCTCGAGCCATAAAACAAGACATGGTCCTCTGCAAGGGGTTAATTCTTATAAAGACTGAAAAGCACATCCACTTGTGTCACTTGCTAAGGAGGAATTCTTGGGCCACTGTTATTTAATCTCTGTGAAAATCCCAGGTAATTTGCTCCCTTCTTTCAGCCTCCATTTATCCAAAAAAGATGGAACTTCAGTTCAGAAGTGACAGAGAAAAACATTCCTTACTGGGTTGGACTGAGTCCAGATTGGAGGGTCTGGATTCTTGCATCTACTCTGACCATCTGGGATGCTGTCTGATAACACAGTGACACTCAGCCTGGGCCACACATATTAAAAATGATGTGAAGGGGCACCAGGCAGAGGACTGCCATCCAGTGGTGCTTCCACAGGGGCATCTAAGAGTCTCTTTTCTCCTGAAGGGTGACCACGGTCACGTCTTTCTCTTTATCCAGGACCACATGAGCATCCCAGAGAGTTGTAGGGATGACCTGAGTACGCACCTTTCACTGAGCACCCCCTTCACTCCTGTGCTTGGTCCTAGAGCATTCAGGGTTCCACCCCTACTCTGGCCTCTCCCCTGTACCCCTTGTAGTTAGGAGGTGCCTGTACCACAAATGTGGGTGGGTGGCATGAGATGTTGGACTGTTGTCCAACTGTGGGGAGCCCCTCTTCCATATTCGAGATCTCTTGGTCCCGGAATGAAGTCCAGCTTCCATGAGATCCATGAACTGGCGAGGGCTGTTACCTATGAGGATGCAGGGGATTGAGGTTATGGACTGACCCTATCGTTGTCAGCAATGTAGTTCTGGAAAAAGACTAAAGTTTTAAAAGGACATGGTCACAAATTTGTCTATCTCTGATAAAGATGCTTGGCTTATTTGCTCATCTCTAAGATCAATTATTAATCAGATGTGCACAGATGAGAAGCAAGGGCACAGGGACAGGGGCTGGTAGAAACAGGCCCAGTGTCCTTTCACCTGACTGGTACTCACCCTTCTTCACTAGAGCCACTGAGGACAGCACGCTGAGGACTGAGCCTGCAGGGTGTTCAACGACGCTTTCTCCATCCTGCTGAATGAGAGGTCTCTTGAGAAAGGGGCTGATCCCTGGAATTTGGTCACGAAAATGGAGACTCCTTTCTGGCTTGGCGGGAGAATGAAGAGGTGAAGGGAAAGAAGTGAATCCCTTGGTAAGACAGGAGGCAGGTCTGCCCTGAAAATAGAGGGGGACACAGAATTTGGGGATCCTTGGAGCCAGCTGAGCCAGAGAATCCCCCCCTCCAGCCTGTAGCTGTGGTCTGCAGTTACTGGGCTCTCCTGTGAAAGCCTTCTAATGGAAAACACAAAAGTAATGTAATGTAAATCTGCATGTTTAAACCCCAGAGCAAAAGTGTTATTTTGTTATATTTGGTTCAGATTTTTTTGCTAAATAATGTGGATGTTGGCAGGTTGATGTTGGGGTGAGAATATGGGTAGAGAAGGAGTTGGTTACAGGTGGTGCGGGATATTTCCTGAATGGAGCCTGTATGAATTTTAGGAGGCAAGGAGCAAAAAGAACAAATAAGGTTATCATTAGTATCATCCCCAAGAGTGGGAGGAGCCATGAGATTGTAGGATTGGAGTTAGAGCCCCCTCTTTCCCATTGTAGTCTTTGCGTAATTTGTTTAAGGCTTCCACATTTTGTTCTACAATGCCTGATTCATTAATGCAGTAACACGCATTTGGGCAATATCCTGCACCACCTTTAACCAACTCCTTCTCCACCCGTATTCTTGCACCTACATAGACCTTTCAATTAGGATTCTCACATTCAAGGTGGTCAAGCCCTTAAAACCATTTTTTTTAAAGATGTATTTATTCATTTTATATAAGAACCAGGGTACAGGCTAGATGTGCAGGAGGGTGAGAGGAATCATCAGAGACAGAGCAGGAAACAGAACAGGCAGACAATGAAATACATTGCTGAGGTGAGACAGGAGAGGTCTGCTGCCATCAGGTGGGACCCCATGCCAGCCAGCCGGATCGAACCAGCACTGCAGAGGCTGTTGACATCTTCAAAGGGAGGCGCTCAACTGCCTGCACCACCAGGGGAGGCCCCCTTAAAACCATTTTCATCACAGTCTAGAATATTGATCTATCTTTCTTGCACTGCTGAGAGTTTAACGAAATGTTAATAAACATTAGGTTGTAGACACTGTTCTAAACACTACATACATTGATGCTGTTAAATGTCATGATATGTGAGGGAAGTGAAATCTTTTATGCTGTCATTTTCAGATTGGGAGAATGAGCAGGTGATCAGCCTGGGAGAGGTGGAATTTGAAGAGCCCGAATTGTTTACCAGGAAGCTACACCCTGCCTACCCAGGAGGGAGAGAGCTCTAGCTCCACTGAGAACAGCTAAACAGCGTCTCTGTCTCTGAGTCTACCGAGGGACAGCTGCTGAGTTGGTGACCACCAAAGTGGCATTTTACATGAAGCATGAAGGGAACTGTTGACTTCACACACCTCGGAAGCACCTTAACATTTACTTCACATCAAAGTAAAGCTCAGGAACATGGCACACATTTGAGGCTCCAAAGAGAAGGTCTCTGGCAATTCCAGTTTCACATCTGAATTCCTACAAGAAACAGGGAACATTCCATTCAGCTCTGGGTAGCCACACAACCGCCCACATCCTCACACTCCCACATTTTACAGACTCACCTGTTTAATGTGTCTTTCACATGATACAGTGAAAACGAAGACAAATGTGAGTGCGGCAAAATCTGTATTTCATCTCAATTTACACAAGGGGTTACTTGCTTTGTACACTCTACCCAAGGAAGCAGAGTGACCCAGCCTGAGACACCCACGCATACCTAGGTAGAACAATTTCCATCCCTGTCCCCTAGGATAGTCCCTGCCAGTGTGTGTGAGTGTGTGATCGCACTTGCTCACGCTTGTGGGGAGTCGTGGAATCTGTATTCACATTAGCCCATGACCTTAGGGAAGAGGCCAGGAGCAAGATTGTGTGACCTTCTGTTACTAATGATGCAATTTCCTTCTCAGGAGCCAGTATTAGCCCATATTACCTTTGTCACTTATGACAAAGGTCCTCAGTGGGGAATCAATGACCAGGCCCTGGCTCTGGGCCACTGAGGCACAGGCAGCAGGTGTCACCTGCTGAAGGCGCTGTCACACTACATCCTCACCCTCACAGTGCAACCACCAGTCCTGCAATAGCTACTGGAGTCCAGGCATTGATGTTCACCCTCTGGAAGCTCCAGGCAGCTGAAATGAGGTTCCCTAAGAGCACATGGACCAAGACAGTTGATTCAGGAGAAGGTTATCATTCATTTTGGCTGCCCCACTCTATACCACCAGTCATTTTCAAGAGATGGTGAGAAGGTTCCATGAACAACTGACAAGGGTGAATAAATGGGATGAAGGTTATTCTGAGGTTCTATATGGCCAAAAACACACATTTACCCAGAGAAGCTAGTTTCTGATTCACATACTGTCACTGTGATACCTGCACAGGCCAGCAGATGACATTGATATGGATCTTTTCTTTGGTTCCCAAAAGGGGAGGTTTATAATAAAAAGGGAGAGAAGAATAAAGGACACTTGCATAGACAGAAATAGGCAAAAGAGCTTGCTGGAGACCCACTCAAACTAAATGTCATGTCAGGAGTCCCCAAAAGGAGAGGACAGTTTTGGCAAAAACTTGGGGGGGCTGAGGGGAAGTGGAGTGAGGTAGATGAGGTAGTGAGGAGACACTGACACTCTCTCTGGTGCAAATATCTCCTGCTGAGGGTTTCAGCAGGCACTTTATTTATACCTTAAGGCTAGCAGTGAGATCACATCAACATAAGCATCAAAGCAAAACAGAGACAATCACTACAGATTTTCTCATGAACATACAGAGACCCTCTTAATCTCATACTACATATGATTAGAGAAAAACAACAGGGACAATTACTGTCCTCGGTACAACTCATTTTCTAGCATAATCAATTGTCTAAGACAGTACAATGTTCAGTAACAATCAATCATCCTGTCAAGCCTTCCTAATTTCGTAGTGGGCATGAAAGTCCATTGTTATGCTTTATTACTAAAATCACCCCATTCCCTAGCAGTCAATTAATCTAGCCTATCTATCAATTACTTCAAAGTGATCTAAAGTAACTCATCAATACTGTTTAATTCTACAACAGTCTAACTTTTAACCAGAAATACCTAACCTCCACACAACCTACAAACTGTTAACCTTTCACATACACCAGGACATGTACTGTTGCCACAAACACACCCCCCAGGTAAGGCTATGGTTTCCAAGCATAGTTGGTTCAGGGCAGCTTGTTCTCCCTAGTTCTCAGGGCCAGAACATTTCTATTCTAACTATATCTTTAACAATTTTTACTTCTTTTGTGATAGTTTATGCACAAGAACAATAAGCCAATTGTCACCTGGGTCTGAATTAGGTTTTCACAAGCCAATTTATAACTAACTTACTTATGTATTAACCAAGAACAAACAGGAGAGCATTAGGAGGTATTGTCATGGAGACTTCCTAGTTCAGATTTTCTGGGAAGTGCAGGACTCCCCTCTTCTCGGGAGTCTCCCCCAATGCCCAGACCTTGTCAAGAGACAGCATGGGTAGCACAGCCTACAGCATTTCCCCCTTTTTTGTTTTTGGCCAACAAGAGATGCTGCTGCTATAGTCTTAAACATTTATTTCTTTAAATACTGACTGAGGCAGAGAGGACTCACCAAACTTCTCAGGCTCCCTCAAAAGAACTTCTCCTCTCAAGAGATCAGAAACCGATACCTTTCTTTCCTCCAAGTTCATATACTCCCTCATCTGCAGCAAATTCTGGGCCGAGCCCTGACATTTCTTCCCTAGTTCCAGGAGGAGGCTCTCCAGTTCATGGCTCTGATAGTCCAGACTGGCTTCACTGTCCTGCAGTCTCCCCAGCAGCTGCTCTTTCTCTTTCTCCAGTCTCCATAGATAAGCCCTCTTCCTCTTCATCGAGGAAGTTGTGGAGATTCCTAAACTCAGACTGGATTTCTTTTCTCCGAAGATCTATGTTCTCCTAGAACCTAGAAAGTAGGCAGAAAAGGGGGAAACAAACAAAACCTACTTCTATGGTGAGTCAGTAAACACAGGTGGGACCGAGACACAGTGCAAATCTGCTCACCCACAGGAGGAAAGCAAACTGTGACACGTGTCCAAGTGGACATACACTGATGATTCATGCAGAAGGACATAAGCCAAAGAGCAAAAGAGAAAGACCCTATGAGTCTTCTCATATGTGGGCCCTCGTCAAATTGAGAAACAAGAAGTAGAATGGTGGCCCCCAAGCTGGAAGGAGGGAAAATGGAGTTATTGTTCATGGACATAGAGTTTCCATTTCAAATGCTGAAAAAGTTCTGCAGATGGAGGGTGGTGATGGCTGCAAAGCAACTAAATGCATTTCATGCCACTGGACTGAATGCTTAGAAATGACCTAAAGGCTGGCAATCTGATGTGGAAAGGTCATCACAAAGCAACAGCCATATGGTCTACTTCCTTCTTCTTCAGCCACAATGCAGAAGAAGAAGGTCACGGAATGCTAAATAGGAGAATAATGGAATTTGGCCAACCCAAGTAACTTATCATTTATGAAGATATAACCAAGCACTGTGGGTAAGTAACACACTATATATATGTTCTGAGGGAATTTCTTCAACAAAAGGCTTATAGTGAATATAACCAATACTGAATTTAAGTCATCAAGCTTATAGGAGAGTCTATAATACTAAATATGGGGAAGCCTGAGGAGTTACCAGATATATTATAGCACTTACCCAGGATACATTTTTCATTTCTATGTGTAACACTTACAAAAATTGGGAGACTCAGTTTTCATTTGTGGCATATGGAATTGCAATTTGCATTGGTGCTTTCTCAATTCCCACAGTGCTTTAGTGACAGTGATATTGTGGCAGATGGAGCATTGATTAGGATGCAGTGGAACTTTTTTAAAAAGATTTATTTATTTATGCATACAAGAACTGGGGTACAGGCCAGAGGTGGAGGGTGAGAGGAATCACCAGAGACAGAGTGGGGAGCAGAACAGGCAGAGTGACTTAAATACTCAGCAGAAGAGAGCATCGGGTGCCCTGTGTGTCACCTCCCTGGCCAGGGATAGAACTCATGCTGCAGTGGCTGTGAATAGCTTTATCATCTGAGACTTATATCCTTGTACCTCCAGGGAAGCCCTGAAGTGGAACTTTTTGTAGGATACATGGGACAGCTGGACTCTGGCATTGACATGGTTTCCTTATGTGGTTTGTAGCAACAGAAGTTCTCCCTATGACCTAATATTCCAGAAATGAGGAGACAGAGGCAGTTGTAAACCTACAGTGTAGGGAATCTTTATGTGTCATTTCCAAATACGGTCCTGCAACTTCCAAGGATCTCAAAATGAGGGATGGAAGAGTCAAGTTTCACATCCACTCACAAAGGAGCAGGGTCAAGTTGGGAAGAGAAACTGAAAGAGGCAAAATGGCTCACACATCTGGGGAATTTGGTTACTAAATCATGAATTACATCCGTATCCATAAAAGAATGTGTCTCTGATCCTGCAGATGCTGGATAGCCACGGACACTGTCTTAGAGACCCACAATCTGCAGTGCATGCATGTGTAAGTTTTGCAGAGCTCTATCCTCATCACAACCTCACAAGCTTGAGTTATGGGAAGGTCTTTTGCACTGGTCCTGTTATTTGTATTCCCTAACACAAATACCCTTCCAGTATTGGAACTGGAAGGTAGGGTGTCTGACCCTGTACTCTGGTAAATGTGCACAGGTGCCTTCATGATCTTCAGACAGGAGGTAATTTAAAATGTGAAGCCCATTGAAGATAAGGGGCACAACAGGTTGTTTCTTCTGACTAAGATAATGGAACACCTAGAAAGTTACTACTGCAAGGCTAAAGAAAGTAAAAGGAAATTCTCCTAGATTAGACAACTAATTATTATTAAAAAACTGGCATATTCTTTGGGGTTCAGCAGTTTGTACTGGTTTAATGAGAATAAATAAAATCAATGAATATTATGCCCAGTCATGTCCTATACATGAATTCAGGATGAAAAACAGTTGTGATCACTAAACCCAAATTCTTACCTCCCATTCAATTATTTGCTCTTTCGTGAACAACTTTGCAGAGGTCTTACACTCCCTTCAGTTTTGTCACAATGTCTTGGAGCTTTTCCTGCAGGAAAAATTGTGTGAGATCTGGCTATTCCATTTCAAAATCTTCATATGGTACTTATGGGGAATCCCAGCCTCCAAACATACAATAACATTGAATATATTTTTGAGAGACTTTACACTTTGAGAGGAAGCAACATGAGGGCAGTAGGATAAGTCATTCCCTAGGAGTCCCTGAACAGTGGTTAGGGTTGTAATATCTTTCTGTGCTGTGAATGTGGAGGCTTAGGAAAGGAGCAGTAACCTGTCCAAGGGGCCCTCACTGGAAGGTGTAGGAGATGTAATTCCCAGCTCCCAGTTCCCAGTGTTGAACTTTAGACTGTAAATTTGTTGTAATAATTGCTAGATTGAATTCACCGTGTTAAAAAGGAGGGCGTGGATATACGTTGTCAAGATGTCTCCTGTGTGGTAGTGACATTCTGTGATTGACAGCTGACAAATTCCTTTAGAGTGAAATACTTTAAGCCAAAAAAAAAAAATTCCCCCTTTAAAAAAGGGGGGTTTAAATGTTTTGGGCATTCTGATGGCTCCAATGCCCCTGGGAAAAATTCTCTGAGGGAATTTTTCATTTTTTCCTCTTCCTTTTTCCTATTTGAGTCTTAGCAGTGTCTTAGGGTTATGGTGCTTCTGACCTGTATGGTGTGCAGGCCTGCCCAGAATAAGACTCATGTGGAAATACCACAAAAGTGTGTCAGGGAGTGTTGTAATGTCACAGTCTTTCCTGTTGCCTGTGGAGTCTCTGCTGAAATGTGTCAGGATTTGAGCTCTAGGATGAGATGAAAATGAAAGCAAGCGTTTGCCAGAACACTGGAGTTAGACTGATGTGGGACAAGTTAATTTGGACACAGGAACTTCATTGTGTTCCGTTCTTTGCTTTTTCTTTTTGTGAAGAAAATTCACTACCCCAGGAAGTCTCTTTCAGTTATATAAAATTATGTTTGATGAAATGTCATGGCTCCATTTTGATTTTGTCTTCTCCCCATAGGTATATGAGACTTACAGAGCTCTTGCATTTGGAAAGCTTGAAAGGGCCCAGACTTTGAACTCCTGTCTTATTTCACTGTTGTTTGTGTTTTTCAAACTCAAGCTACCCAAAGCCATGTATTAAACAGAATAATTTTCTAACTTTAAAAATGAACAAAAAGGTAAAATGTGTTACTTGGATTTGAAAACTAGCAGGAGCATGGTTCAGGCTAGAAGCCCAAACCCCATCACTAAAATCAACAAGGTGACCTTGGCATTAACACTCCAAATGCTGCTGCTCTGCCCGCGCCTGCTTGACCAGCAGGAACCCGTATTTCCACCCTGAAATGTTTTTCTATAACCGCATTGGAATTCTGAAGACTTAAAAAAAAATTACCAGTTACTGCTCTCCTGCCACGGAGCAGGGAGGCAATTTCAGCAATGATGTTTTTTCATTAGCTTCAGTTTACTGGTTCTAATAATAAAAGGGAGTGTGCACATTATAGAAATTTTGAAAAGTAATATAATGAACAATATTGTCAACTATGATTTTTCCATCAAAACATGCATACTGTTATGAGTTAGCTTACTCTCTTCCTGGTATTTTCCAATATTGTTCATTGGGTGTAAGGACGGGTAGTAATGATGCAGAGTTTGAGAATTACAAAATGAACTCCCTGCAGCTGATCAGGTCAAGAAATATAAAATCACAACACATCATAATCTTCTTCTTTCATTATCTTCTTCCTCCTTCATCTAAATTATATCACCTAAGAATGTATCATGAAATGTATAATTAAAACGATTTTAATTTTGTCTAGTATTTAACATTAAAGTAAATCACATTATGTTTATTTTCTTAGCTTGGCACTTTCAACAATATGTAGGCAAGATTAACCCATATAGGATGCAGCTAGAGCCTAATTTCATTGCTTATAATATTCCACCTGATGCAAAGTAATAATTTTTCCGTTCTACCTTCACACACATAAGGATTATTTCATTTTTTTCTTCTATGATGGAATTATAAATGTCTCCGGGGTTTTATATTCTACTTTCATCATTTAACATTGTAAGTATTCTCCTGCGACATTAAAAAACTTAATAAGTATTGTAGCTAATTGCTACATTTCATTTATGCATATGCTGTAATTAACCATTCCTTGGAGCTTTCGTTTAGATTTTTTCCAATCATTTATTACTGTAAAGAAAGTGCTGGTGAACATTTTTACATGAACATTTTTACATGTATTTTTCTGTTTTTCAAAGCATTTCCTAGGTCATTTCGGAAATACAGAATGCCTATTTCTATTTTAAATAAAAATATGTTAAATTCAAAATTCTCTGCAGAACGGGGGTGTGAAGTTATCTTCTCAGGAGGGGACAGGCGCACACTTCCCAGCCCTCCTCTCACAGACTCTCCTTCCCCAGCTGCCTCTGAAAGGCTCTGACACCGGCCTCTGCTCCCTCCCTCCCGTCTGCACTCCCGCCCCTTGCCTGCCTCCAAAGGGCATTTTTAGCCCGTTCCTGCGCGTTGCTGCTCCTCGCCGCCAGGCGGCGCCCTCTGCCGTTTCTCCGCGCTGTCACCTTCATGGCGCTTTCCGTTCCCTCTCGGGCCTCAGTCACTCTCCGCATTTCATGAGCAGCCCCGCCCTCATTTTTCTGCACATGGCCCTCTCCCTCCCTCGCCTCCCTGTGCCTCGCGCGCCCCGCGCGTCACCACATCCAGGGGCTCGGCCTTCATATTCTGCGTTCTTCCTGCAGTACCGCTCCGGCCCACAAGACGGCGCTCTCCGTTTCTACCTACGCTGTTTTACCGCAGGAGCCTCTCCTTCCTCCTGCCGCTTGAGTTTCTTTCCCACGTTACCACCCCGCTCCACAAGTCGGCGCTCTCCGTTCATACGAGCCTCCTTTTTGCCCCTGGAGCTCTCCTTCCTCCGCCACTTCCGTGTTAGCTGTTGCCCTGTCCCACAAGGCCCCGCGACACCAATGTGTGGGAGGAAGGAGAGGCTCCTTGCCCAAAGCAAGGGCGGGTGAATCGGAGAGCGCCGCCTTCTGGACTGGGGTGGTAACGTGGGAAAATCGCGGCCTGCGGAGCAGCTGACAACGGAAGTGGCGGGAGGAAGGAGAGGCTCTTGCGGCAAAACAAGGCCGGCAGAAGCGGAGTGCGCCGTCTTGTGGGCTGGAGAGGTGTGCAGGAAGAACGCGGGATAGCAATGACTGCCGCTGGGCGTGGTAAAGGGCGGGGCCGAGGCGGAGGGAAAGGGGCGGAGCACGTAATAGTGACGGGCGGGGCCGCTGGTGAGGGAAACGCGGGGAGTGACAGGCGCGAAGGGGGACGGGCAGCGCCTCCAGGGCGGAAGTGCCGAGCAACGACAGAGGGCGCCGCCTCGTGGCGAGTAGGAGCAACGCGCCAAAGCGCCGGGACAGGGAAGGGCCCAGGATGGCGGAGCCGCGCTGACTGACTGGGGGAGGGGTGGGAGGGGTGGGGGGAGGGGTGGGGGGGGTCGGGCAGGGACGGAGCAGGGCGCCCGCGTGGAGAAGCAGTGACGGGGCCCGCGGGGCATGAGGCCGTCAGGCCCCCGCAGACGGGCCGGGCGGCCCGGCCTGGAGGAGGCGCGGGGCGGGGTGGGGGCGGAGTTTGGGGCCAAAGCCTGGAGACGGGCGGGGGAAGGAAACGCGGGCGAGGACGAGGTGAAACACGTCCCGTCTCCGTTCCTGAGAAGACGCGTCACCCCGCCCTTCAGGATTTCAAAGACTTTTATTGTGCTTCAGAGGAAACAGCGGTTCTGGTTTGGGGAAGTGACCCGAGGAAACGCGCCGAGACACGCAGGGAAGCTGGTGTGTGGAAGCCTCGCCGGCCCCTTCTCACAGCAGCGCGCGGCTGGGAACAACCCAGATGAACACCCCAGGGCGGGGTCCAGTAGACTGCGGTGTGGACACGACTGAAATGTGGCCGTGACAGGGATCATCCTTTCCCAGGCATCACAGGGGGAGACAGAAAGGAAGACGGGCTTGAGGGGCATGAACGTTGTCTGCTCCCCTCCGAGGCCCGAAGACGAAGGCAGATGCTTTCCCGGAGGGGCTGAGGAACAGCTCAGGGTTTCTGGACGCCGGCGCCGCCACTTAGATGGGCCGCAAGTGCCTTTTGTTCGTGGCTTGTCCTGTAACGGAGAAAACAGGGAACAAGTTGGGGAGACCACAGTGGGGTCAAGAATGTTCGTCTCTTGCGCCCACAGACGCCCACGGACACAGGCCACGGACATTCACAGTAACAGGATGCGGCCTTTCCTCATCAACACAGTGTGTTCACCTGTGAAACGGAGAATCAGGGAATGGCATTGTTTGTATTTCCTAAACACGCCAAGGGATGAACACAGAGACATCAACTAAATCAGAGGGGCTGCTGCTCACTCTTTGGTTGCCTTGAGGTTTTTGTTTTTCAACATGTGCTGAGATAGTTACATTTTTTTCAGAAGGAAGAAAGGGCATGTGTGTGAAATGCCTGGGGTACAGCATATAAGGGAAGTTTGCAAGACAGGCCTGATCATTTCACTTGCAAAAGCCACCGTCGCCAAAGGGAGACCGTCCTCGGCCAGATCAAAGAAGAAACAGAATCTAAAGGGAGTTTTCAGATGAAACGTGCCGGCTTGTGTTCATCACTTGGGGACTCCCACCCCCTACTAGTGAGAACCAGAAGGTCATTCACTGGGCCGTGCAGGGAACGGGCTGGCGTCAATGGAAAGGGACACGCGGGCGCCGGGCGCCTGACAGACAGACGGACAGTGACGCCTGGGGGGTGTTGGGAGAAATCCTCATCCAGACCTCCGCAGGGAAAGCCGTCAGGATTACGCAACTGTTGATGGCCATGTCTCCTGCCATCTCGCACTTCAATCTCTAATAACCCATCTAACTGGTGAGCCTTGAGCCGTCCACCCGCGTCTCTGTCCCACTTTTTTTTCAGCGTTTCTGGAGTTGCCCTGGGCCCCGGACGCGTCCTGCTGCCTGAGCATCCGACTCCTGCTGCGGTGAC